TAGCTATAGTCCTGCAGGTTGGCGATGTAGAGCTGCAGCTGGCCGCGGTGCAGCAGCGGCGAGATGGAGAGCATGTTCCAAAAGGCTGGCCCGCCCTCGCCGCCGCGGTAGTTAACCATTGCGACCTTGCACGGCCGCTCCTGAAGGGGGAGGGGAGGGGCGTCTAAGCAGAGGCGGCGGGCCGAGGCGGGGCGGCGAGGCGAGAGGCGGCGCAGGGTTGGCGTCGAGTGTGCCTGCTTGAGCGCGCCAGAGATGGCCGACACGACGGCCGGGTCGGATCTCTCTCCCTGCGTGAGGCGCGGGTTGCGGCCCACCGCCTCGCCGTACGTGAAGCCGCACATGTCCTGCCACGGCCGGGTGACCCAGACGATGGGGTTGCCTGCGCGCGAGGCAGCAGAGCGGCTCAGAGGAGGCCAGCGAAGGGGGGTGGGGGCGGAGGGGGCAGCACGCGGACCCTGGGCGCGCGGGTTTGTGATGACGATCGACTCCTCGTTGGCGTCGATGGTGCTCACGAACTGCCGCACGAGGCCCCTCTGCAGATCGTCCAGCTCTGCGCGGGGGTGCACGAGCGCCGTCTCCCCGTCCCGACGGGGAGACTTGGAGGGTCGTTCGCCCGCGGCGCTGCCCGACGCAGCCGCCTCTGCGCGCTCCCCCTCGGCGCTCCAGAAGCCCGAGCAGCGCGCGAGCTCCGCGCCGTCGCGCTTCCTGCCCGAAACTCTGTCGGGCGGCGTGGCCCACGACCGGCCCCTAAGCTCCTCCTCCATCGGGACACTTGCCTTCTTCCCGGAGGGCCGGCCCGCGGGCTCCTCTCGAGAGGAGGGGCCTGCCTGCGAGCCGCCCGCCTGCATCTGGAGGGCCGCGGTCTCACTGCACAACGAAGCACCGAGCGAGCTGCTGCCGCACCAAAGAATTCTTTTTACCTACGCACCGGCTGTGAGAGAGAGAGAGAGAGTCCAATGGCCGTTATCCGTTAGTGCGGACGTCGCCGCGGCTCGCCTCTGCCGCGGCGGCTGCTGCGCGCACGCGGCGGCGCCGCTCTCTCGCGAGACGGCTGGCGACGCGGCTCGCCGCCGACGTACGGTGCGCTCGTCCGACGGTCCGCAGCGTGGCGTGCGCGGCGCTGAGCGCCGCTCTGCGAGCGCCTCTGCGCCTGCACTGCCTGTCTCTGTTGCTGTTGGTGGTGGTGGTGCTGCTGCTGCTGGTGCCGATGCTGCTGCTGGCGCGGCGCGGCTGTGCGACTGGGCTCGACGCGCGCGTCGCGAGCGTCTGACGCGGCGGGCGGCGTCGGGCAGGTGCGCTTCTCTCTCGGGTGGTGGTGGTGGTGCTGCTGCTGCTGCTGGTGGTGCAGATGCTGCTGCTGGTGCGGCGCGGCTCTCCGACGCGACTCGATGCGCGCGTCGCAGCTATCTGACGCGGCGGGCGGCGTCGCGGGCGGCAGCGGTGGCGGCTCGCGGGTGGAGGTGGAGGCTGGTGGCTGTGGTGGACTTTGAGTTTATTTCATGGTCGTGTACGGGGACCGGGGGGTCAACCGGGAGGCAGGGGGTTCAACCAGGCGACGGAGGACCGTGGGCCATCGCGGGGACCGTTCGCCCGGAGGGCGTACTGGGCTGATCCGGATGGTCTTCACGCCGGTGGGTGGCACCGAGGCGTATTGGACGCTCAGCTCTACCTTAAGCTCCTGAGGGGCGCGTGGTTGTAACCACGTAGTATGACTACAACCCACCACAGACACCCTCCCCCACTCCTCACGTGTGTTCACACCCTCACCCTCTCCTCTCTCCTCTCTCTCTCTCTCTCTCTCCTCTCTCTCCTCTTGTCTGTGCTGTCTGCCTGACTCAGGCACTCAATCTGCCGATGCGTGATTGTGTGTGGGCTGCTCCGAGGGGGCCCTCTGTGCGATCCGACGGGTAGGGGGGCTGTGCCCGGGCGGTGTCCGGTGTGGAGTCCCCTTCTGATCCCGCCTGGGATGTTGGGTGTGAGGTTGTGGCGGCTTCGATCCCAAGGGGGGGAGCTGATCCCACTCAATAACCAACTCTCAGGGGCAGTAGGTGGGCGAGCTTCTGGCACGCTCATCTCGATCGTCAAGACGTTGCTACGCGCGGTCTTCCGCGGGGGGAGCTGCGTCGACGGGTGCGGGACCGCGGCGCAGCCAGTGCCGTGGCGATGCCTCCGGCTGTTTGCGGCGGGCGGCTTGCTGCTCGCTGCGATGGCGAAAAACTCGTCTCGCCACACGCCAAGGGCTTATGCTCTGGCGAGACGTGAGGCGCATGCGCCCAGGAGGGGAGGGGGCATGTGTAACGACACTGCTAGAGATGCCTTTCGGGGCCCAGAGATAAAACTTCTGTGATGCCATGCGTGACCTAGTAGTGTCCCCAGCTATGGGCGTGTCCACGTTGGAGCCAGGTGTGGTGTGGGCGCGAGAATAGCTCCGCCGTTCATGGAGGCAACCGATGCGAGTCGACTGGTGTGTGTCGTCGTGGTTTCGTATCAAGAATTCTCTCTCTCTCTCACCGGCTGTGGTGTTTTAGGTATGTTGTTGCCGAATGGTGTGGTGTGGTGTGGTGTGGTGTGGTGTGGTGTGGTGCTGCTCCCTGAGATCGCTTAGCGTTTCTAAGTCTTAAGCACCAGATGGCGCGGTGGCAGCTCTGTTCGGCTCCGCTCGGCTCCGCTCGGCTCCACTCGGCTCCACTCGGCTCCGCTCGGCTCCGCTCGGCTCCGCTCGGCTCCGCTCGGCTCCGCTCGGCTCCGCTCGGCTCCACTCGGCTCCGCTCGGCTCCACTCGGCTCGCTCGGCTCCACTCGGCTCGCTCGGCTCCACTCGGCTCCGCTCGGCTCCACTCGCTCGGCTTTCTTTCTTTCTTTCTGGCCATCCTCCCTTGGTTTTGCTGTTTTCTTTCTTTCTGCGCGCACTGGCACTAACACTGGTACACCAAGAATTTGGGAAAGCTTACCCTCTCGCAGCAACAAAACACCAATCGTATGGCTAAAAATCTTGGAGCACTTGGAGTGCAGTTATCAACCTCACATCCAGGGCCGGGGAGCTCAGAAGTTTCTCTCTCTCACTCATTGGAATTGATTGCTAAAAATCTCTCTCTCACTCTCAGCAACAACAAAACACTAACAATCTCGTTCACAGGACTGCAGCGGTACCCTCGAGGCGGTACCTAGGGTCGCCAAGAAAGGAGAAAGTTTTCCTTCGATTATTCCTCCCTCGCGCACCTTCGCCGAAGTTTGGTTGTGGGTTTGATTGGCTCACACGCACGCGGCCCCGAACGATGAAACAGCCCGGGGCTGCACCCCACACCAGCCAGCGACGGGGCGCGCTCGGCTTCACATGCTATCGGATCCGGGCAACAGCGCGGAGGCGTGCGCAGAGATTCACCGGCTGCTCTCCTCCGGCTCCCTGAGCCGGCTGCTCGACAGCTGCCGCAGCATGCACCTCGATCTCTCGGCGTCGCCGCTGATGCCGGTCCCGCACCAAGCTGTGCCGGCGACCCAGCAGGCGAATCCACCCGACGTTGCCCGCGCCGCTCCTCCCATTCACGCCTCCCCAAACCTGCACCTGACAGGCCTTTGCCAACGCGTGCCTTCCCGTCGCCGAGGTCCAGCGATGTGCGCCGCACCACCCGCAACCTCTCACCACCACCTGCCGCACCACCCGCTGGCCGCTGCAAGTGATCGATCGCCGGCCTCCTCGCCGCGCAGGGATTGCGGAGCACTCGGACTCGTCCGTCGCCCGGCCACCCATGGATCTGGCGCCGGGGTCGGTCTTGACTGTGCCCGGCGTCATCGTGAATGGCGTGCACGCGCACAGCCCGCGAGCTCCGCCGCCGCGTGTGGCCAGCCTCTCCGTCGCGCTCGAGGCGGAGGCGCAAGGGACGGCGATGGCCCTCGCAGGCCTCTCCCGCTCGAACCACGCACTCGCCCTTGGGGGTGGCACCTCGCCCGAGCTGTCTCGAACCCAGGCGGAGCAAATGCTGGTCGACCTCGAGCGGCGAGCGGTGCAATGGGCGCAGCAGGCGTCGGCGATGCGCGGGGAGTGAGGCTGTCCCCGCGCCCGCCGCTCAGAGCCCAGTCCCTCGATCCAGCCCCCGTCACCCGCCACCCACACACGCACGAAGGCAGACCAAGGCGATAGGTGCGACAGACGGGGCGGCCACATATCCGACACATAGGTCGCGCATGCTGCGTAGCGCCGCAACGGTGGACCACTCACGGCTGCAGTCCATCGAGCGCATCCTCCTCTCCACCGTGGAAGACTTGCAGCGCAGCCACGACGCGCGGCGGGTTGAGACGACGGCCGAGCAAGACCACGCCACCGCAACCAAAGAGCGCAAAAAGGCACGCCGGCAGAACCACCGCTACGAGCAAAAGTCGGTGTTGATAGAGGTGCGTGCGACGCACCGCGTGCAGCAACCTCCACCGAACCTCCACCCCGCGCAGCATAAATACCCACGACCTCCTCTCAGCCGCGGCTTGTGTGCTCGCCTCCCCACCCAGTGGTTCAGCAAACACGAGCTCGACCCGTACCCCAACGGCGAGGAGAAGCTGGCCCTTGCGCGTGCTGCGGGCCTAGAGCTGCGGCAAGTGGAGCACTGCGCGCCGGCTGCACGCGCGTCGCACCCCCTACTCTGACTCACACCGCAATACGTCAACGGCGCTGCCTGCGTAGGGTTTACGAATCGCCGCAAGCGGCACTGGAGAGCGACGGAGAGCGACGCAGCGGGAGCGGCGCCAGCACAGGGGGCAACTACTGAGCAAGGCGAAGAGGAGCATGCGGGAGTCAGCGACGACGATCTGATGGATTGAGCTACAAGCTGTGAGCACGCACATCCGCGCGTGCGTGCGCCTCGTCCACCACCCCGACATACACCCGCGGTGCGTGGGCCGTGGGGAGAGGCCCTCCCCCCCCCCCCGGCATCGCTGATTCGGTTGTTTTAATTATGAGTTATACTAGTGCTACGCTCTGCACACCCACGACGAGTCGTCGACCGGCACGAGAGTGGTGACTGGTGAGTCTGAGTGGTGTGTGTTGTGCTGGTGCGGGGTCGTCGCAACTCGCCACTCGCCTGATTTCTCTCTACACTCTACTGACGAGACGCAACACCGCAAACACACACAACGCTCTGGGCAAACATAAATCACAGCACTAAAACGGACACACACACAACGCGCCTAGTTTAGCGGTGCCCATCTCGACCTCATCCACGGCTTGGGCTGGCCGCTTCCCGGCTCGTGGAGGGCAGCCGCGGCACAGCCTCGCGCAAATCGTCAACCTGTGGGAACGAGACGCCGTGCCGCTCGCGCAGCTCGACCTGGAACGCCAGAGACATCGTGCGCGTGTCATGCACGGCGCGGACCGAGCAGTGGGCGCGGCTGCAAGCGGGCGTGCACGGATCCGCTAGTGAGTGGCGGGCGGGCGGCCTGCGCTCGCTGCAGCTCTCGCAGCATCGCCGGCAGCATTGGCTCCTCTGCGCGGGACTGCGCGCGCCTGCAAGCACGCTCCCACGTTTAGGACCACCCGTCGCCGCGCGCGGCCTCAGCGTGCGCCCGCGACGCGCAGAATCGCAGCGTTGAGCGCCTACGTGCCCGACTCCTCTGGCTCAGCGGCGCGCACGGCCACGAGGCTCACCCGACGGGCGCTCCCCGCAACGCACCGTGGCCGTGCGCCGCCGCTGCGATGGAT